AAAAAAAAAAAAAAAAAAAAAGGCGGAGAGGTGAGGAAGGATGAAGGGCATAATTCAACTACAAAAGAAAAATATAAACGAGATTCATGGAAACTAACTGGATTGGAATTTCTCCTCCAGAAAGTATCTGTGAATGGGGGGATGGGGTTATCTTTAACCCATTCTTATAGTAGTCTTTAGAAAGTGTTGAGATTTTTTAATATTTAAGAATTTGAATGCTACCAAACTCCCCTTCCAAATTAGGAAAGACTCTAATGGTTAGAAAATAGGCTTAATTTTTTTTAAGTGAGAGGTTGTCTTACTGGCTTTCATCTGGAAAATTGCTTGAAATTGGCAGTGACTTTCTCTATTTTTTAAGTAGCTACACAGGATAGGGTTCATTTTGTGGTGACCGCCGGATGCTCCAAAGTCAAGATCCTCTACAGACAGGAAATGCCTTTGCCAGCTCCAAGGTCTCCTCCCTACAGCCCTGTCTATTGTCTGCAGAGATTTGTGTACATCTGACTGAGGAGGTTTCCCGCCTGCAACTGCAAATCAAAGAGCTGCCTAAAAAGAAGGGAATCAGTGGGGGCTTTCTAGCTTTTCTGGCTCACACTTGGTGCCTACTGTGTGCCAGATATTGATACTTCCTCTCAGTTGAGCTGCCCAAGGAACTGAGGAACTGAGACTGAGAATTCATGTTTCCCAAAGTACCTAACCGGCAAGGGAGGTGTATTCCAGCCCTGAGGTGAAATTCCTGAAGGAGGGTTCCCCACGGCCCCACCCGCAGGGGTAGCTGCTGTTCTGTAGACCTTGGGCCCAGGTATTTTGGTGAGTGGGAGGAATCTCCAAAATGTTTCTCATCTGAATTCAACTACAATACCAAAAACAAAAACAAAAAATGTATCAAGGACTAAAATTATATTAGACAAGTACAGAGTCCAGCTGGAATATCATGAAACCCAAAGGAATGAAAAGTAAATGTTAAGATACTGAACTCCTAACCATTTAGAAGCATCCTGATGATGGCTTGGTTTTCTATACTCGGTCTCATGTTGTCAGTAGTAGCATAAATATCACCTCCAATCACAGATTTAAAGGATCATTATTAGATTTTAAAGAAAAATTAAAAAGGTGAGCTTTCGGGTTTGTGTCACCTTCCACAAGGCAGTAAAACTAAAATGGAAATTTTGGTAAGTGCGGTCTGTCCCCAGCAATATGCATTTCCTCCTAAATCCAAATACATTTTCTTGAATCCCTGCCCTCCCCCCCCAACTAAAATGAATATTCACAGCAAGGAAACCACACACACACAGAGGGCTGTCAGAAGTGTTGAAGGAGAGTAGGTACTTTCACTATCAGAGATGGTTTCCTCTTTTCCCACAAGATGTCTTATCAGCTTTCACCCTGAGAAAACCATAAAAACTGAGAAAAAGAAAACTTATGCAATAGTTCTCTAAATAAAATACTACACAACAGGCTAGTCATCCCTAAAAAACGATGTTGTTTAAAGAGTCAAAGTACATCATCCAACAAAATCAATATCCTATTAAGTTAGAAAGGGTTCTGAATATCAAAGACCAAAGAACTGAATAACTTAAAATATAAGTACATGACCCAGGGGATTAATCACACACTGTCATGGTGAAATTAGGGCAATTCTTCCAATCATTAACGTTCTGCTTACAAAAATGTGCTTCTCTGTTTGTCTTTCTGCTAAATGATAACCGTTTTCAAGTTGAATCTCCTGATAAAATGAGTTAAAAACAAGACAGGAGTTGTGCTGTAAAGGTCATACATGCCGCTTCAACATGAAATCGCCAAAAGACAAACAAATGAAAAATGCCTGGATTGTAGGAAGAATTTGTAAATATTCATTGGCAATCTGCAACGGGGCACTTCAGAGAACAGTTAATGCCAACCTGTGTCCTAAGAACACTGTACTTCCTTCAGTTAACATGCTCTTGATTCTTAAGGACATGTTTACATTCAGAATATGAGCAACTTGAAGAGAGTTAGGAATAGCTTTAAATTGGAAAACTGCCTGATTTCAGGGGTTGTCTACTTTAAAGCAAGATTTCACCCCTCAACTTCTCTAGTGTCCATCAATACATAAACCTGCATTTCCCTGCTTGATAGTCATGATACAGTTATTCTCAAGAATAAATATTAACCAGAGGTTATCTCCAGGAGCGACACACACACACTGATTTCAGGATTGCTTTAATTCAATATTAGGCCCACAAGCCTCCCATTCTCTCAGACTCTGATACAGACAGCCCCATTTTCAAAGGAGACTGATTACGACCTTTGAAACCCTGATGTAACCTGTCAGGCAGGGTCAGGGAGCTTGGAGCCTGCAGCTGATGGGAAAGGAGACCCTCCCACTGCATGTCTCCTTTGGGCTCCGGCATGAGGAGGCACAGAGAACAGGAGAAACTAGAAAGAGCTTGAACTAAGCTAGGAATCTGGGGGCTGGAAGGGGTCATGCAGATCGACTAGACCATGTTCATGCTAGAGAGAGAGAATGGGGCCAAGAGCTAAAACTTCCACTCAGACCTATAAACTTCCAGGCCTACGCACACCTCCCTGCCTAAGAACTCAATACCAACCTAAACTCACAGGCAATGCCAGGCAACGCCAGGCAACGCCGAGAAGGCAGGATAGACAGCCCCCTAAGAGCAATGACTTTTTCACTCTGTCTTCACCTGGGGGCCCACGTCTGTGGAGCCACAGCCCTGGTCAGCCCCCTTCACAGAGCCTCTGCCAGGAGGCACCCAGCTGCACAACATCTGGAGGCCTCCATGGAGGCAGAGGCTAGGGAAAGAGATCCTGGGCTTCTCTGCTCACAGGTCTCTGTCATTTTCCTGGACCATCGGGGACCTGATGGCTCAGCCAGGCAAGCAGGTAGATGCAGAACAGCAACACCTGGGCCCATGGGAAGCCTCAGCCCACCTCTGTCTCGGCCCCACACCCACCCTCAGCACTTTCATCTCACAACCCCGCTTTCTTNTACCTTCTGTCTGGGCCCCACACCCACCCTCAGCACTTTCATCTCACAACCCCGCTTTCTTGANCACCTCTGTCTCGGCCCCACACCCACCCTCAGCACTTTCATCTCACAACCCCGCTTTCTTGACCCTGCTCCCTCCCTTCAACCATCAAATTCCACAGATGGGGTGGAGAGTGACGGGGAATTCTGGCCCAGGACGCACAGTGGTTCTCAAAGCTTGGTCCCCCCACCCCACCCCCAGCAACTTTGACACCACCTGAGCCCTTGTTAGGAATGCGAATTCCCTGTCCCACCGCAGCCCGACCCAATCAGGACCGCGGCCGGGGCGGGGCGGGGGCGGCCCAGGAGGGCCCCCGGGCGCCGCGGGGGATTCTCAAGATCCCGGAGGCGTGAGAACCGCGATCTTGGCGCGAACTCCCTCCCGGCCCTCTCGCCAGGGTCCCCATCCCGCTGGGCGGACCCCAACCCCGGCGGGGCCCCGGGGGATGGATGACTCGGTGTTGACTCACGCGGGTCAAGGACAGCGGCCGGCCCCGCGCCCGCGAATCGATGGGACT